TACACAGACACGAGGAGAACATGCAAACTCCACTCAGAGAGGCCCTCTTCCGACCCCATTCTAAAAATAACCCCAGCGATAAATGAGGGACCACTGTAGATTGAGTAAGTCATGTAAAGTGACATTTGCAGAGCCTTGTTTTTACTATTTGATGATCATGGCTTCCAGTCCGTTTTCTATTTTTTAATTTAATGCAGGGGCCGCGGGAGGTCATAAAAAAAATAAAAAAATAATATAATTATTTAATGTTAAATTTATAATGTTTTGTTTGTAATATTAAAATATTTGTGTTCATTATTTGACTTGAATAATCCACTGTAATCATTTTTGTATTACAATGTTTGTAGCAGAGGCTATTTCCCCAAAATAAAATAACCAGAAGAGCCTATTCTTAATGTTGTCTTCTTGGTTATTATTTTGGGGGGCCACGCAGACCCGTCAGATTTTTAAGGGGGCCTCGGTGTTACTGAGTTTGGGAATGGCTGTATTAGATGATTATTATTATTATTATTTGGGGTTTTACAGCCGTGAGCCAATTATTGACATTGAATACAAATATCTCACGAAGCTTGTTATACATCTGTCATACATTAATTTCACATCGCATTTAAAATTACAGTAAATTAAATAAATGTTCCGAGTTTACCCGGTGGATAGCATTCTCGCTTCTCAGCAAAAAAGGTCCTGGGTTCGGAACCCGGTCAGAATAGCGTCTGCATAGGTTTCCTCCAGGTGCTCCGGTTTCCCCACCACTAAAAACATGCACAATAGGTACGAATGTAAACGGAAGTGAATGGATGGAGCAGTATCTGAACTCTGAACATTGTAAAGTGCTTTGGGTGACCCTGACTGAAATGTTCACACTGTGGGATATAGGATTTCTCATAAATCACAAATATCTAGATACTGCTCAAGTTAAGGGTCTATACTGTAGAATGATTTCCCCACATTTTTTTTCAAGTTTTTTGGACCACTCTAGTTTACTTGCTGTGAATTTTTGAAGTCTCTCGTTCAAATGAATGGGGCTCGTGCCGGCTGACGCATGCGCAGATGCGTTTTTCTCACATTTTCCAGCCCCCGCGGCCATTTTGAATCACTCCATGAAAGCCCAATTTTTGGCCCATTAGTCAGAACGGCGGAGATAGGCGTGACTACGTCCGTTGATATTTACAGTCTATGGTTACAAGCCTCTGTAGTCAACTCTCAAAAGCAGCATTTTTGTCCCCTATACACAATTATTGACCAACAAAATGTGTGCACATGACAATATTCGAAAGAGTTTGTCCCAGTGATAGCAATCCATAAAACCAAATGAAGATGATTGCAAACAGAGGCCTTCCTTTTGATTGTCTTTGTTCCCCGAGCTGTCCCAGGGTGTCTGTGCAAACACCACTGTCTCTCTCTGGCCTCCTCTATACTGTTTGTACTGTCCATATAAAACACGGTGCAGTTTAAAATCACCGGCAGAAGAGGAGAGTCGCCGTATATTCAAAGAGCAGCAGATTACCGGCCCAGCTGTTGCAGGTCGTGTCTGTCCATCTAATGACTTTCTTTCTGCCCCTGTCAAAGAAATGCGGCCGGTCTGCGTGACTCTCTCCAGCAGCCTCCCAATAACAATTAAGGAGCTCTCGTAATGTGGGTCCCGACTGAGCAAAATCTTAGAGAGGGAAGGAAGAGACGAGAAGGGTAAAAAGAAGATATCATGTTATGTATAAAGGACTTTTTTTCTCTTTTTTTTTTTACAACATTAAAAAATGAGCTGGAGTTGTTCTTAGATCCATCCATGCTCAAATTAGAAACTTCTGGGCGAAATATGTTCTGTATCTCCGCCCCTTCAGTCTCAAAGCTCCAGTCTCATTCCGTTTTCATGCGATCTCTGAGATATCCACATAATCTCTCAAAAGTCAGAGCGTTCATGAGGAGCTGTTGACACATACAAACACACAAACGTACACACACACACACGCACACACATGCACACACACACACATGTACTCACACGCACACCTATAGCAGTGACAACAACAACACAAACACAAATCTGCTGTAATGCAACTGGATTCTGTTTACTTGTTCATGAGGCACAGACACTTTAAATGCTGTGAATAGAGAAATATGAATACGAATTTTGGATATTTCTGCAAGATTGTGTTGCTATTAATTCACTAAATGTAATCTTAAATTGATCTTTGGCATAAAGATGTTTATTTTGAAGTAAAACCATCAGTCGGACATGGAACAATCGTGTCACGTCCTGCAGTGACCATTGACCGTAGCGTTTCAGCTTTGAATCTCAGCCTGACTTGACGAGTTGAGCGGCGTTCATTCCCATTTTTGGGGAAGTCGGAACATCTAAATATCCTGTTATAGTGTTTGAAAAAGTGTGATGTCATAGTTTTACAGTGACATCACACTTTTTCAAAACAACAAAACAATTACAAGAAAATTCTCACTTGAAATGAGGAAGAAAATGTCCTGCAAATGTCCAGCAAGTCACGGGGACATTCCAAAAAGATATGCAGCAAAGTAGCGGCTGTATGTTTCTACACTTTTCTAACAACTGTTTAAGTGTGATCGTACCTGTTGGTTGTAGATCTGAGAGCTGCTGCAGTTGTCAAAAGCCATGCACGTACTATAAAACATACAGCTGCAAAGGGCACTGCGCTGAGGGGCACCGCAGAGCAACAGACAAGCTTCAAAAGTGTTCCTTTAACTTAGGTGATGGTAAACTTAAAGATATTCTCACTTCTCCCAGTTGAAAATAAGCAAGATATAAGCTAGTTGATTCAATTGTCCAGGTTTTGCGATGTAATGATAAATCCTGTTGAATTTCCTAGGGCAGTTTTAAGGAGGAAGTCAACTGACCTGGTGACATACGTAAACACATCAATAATGATTTAACATTTACACCTTCACAAGATACCAGTAGAATGCCTTGTGCTGTATATATGCTGCCATTGGTCACACAGGCCGGAGTCTGCTGTGTGCGTCCTTTGAGTTAGCGTGACTGTAATGAAGTTTGATCAGCCTGTAAGAGCAGGAAGGACCCATCCCTCAGGTACGCTCTGATGTTATCATGTGGCCTAATGGAGTCACTTACAAGGATTTACCAGTATTCAAAGACCTCCACACGCCCCCTTTAAGCGTCTTTACATTGATTTCTTCATCATAATACCTCAGTTAATCACATTGATGTGTTGTAGCATGTCTTCTGGGCATAACAGTAAGTGACCTCCCCCTGGCCGATAATGTCCCATTGTTTTTCGGCTCCAAGCAGGTACGGACAGATGCCGCAGGAGCAAAGGCTTTTAACTGAATCAGCAAATGGGTGACCTGGCCTGGCCGGTCCCTCATGGCCCTCATTGTTCCTATCCAGCACAAAAACAGACCTTCAATGTAATATTTTTTGGCATTTTTCGTCAGCCCGTTATGAGGCAAATATAATTGTGCAGATAACCCCATTTTGGTGAAAATCTTGTTGCATTAAAGCCACTCACTCCTCCCCAACAGTGTACATCTGGCTAACTGTTGGTGCACAATCAGATTTCTAAAGCAGACTGGGCCCATTTGACTGGAGATGAGTTGCACAAATAAAATGATTCCTGTAGCTCTGCGTGACCAAGATAGCAGCGTGAGTTTTTGACAGACTTGATTCACTCAAATTGTGTTTGGAAGTGACCTTAACAAAAGACTGTGCTTGGGAAATGTAGTTTTAAATTAGCTTCTCTGACGCCGTGTTAATTTCATGGACAAAAATATTCTGGCAACGAAGGGTTTTTGCGGACAAAGACGAGGTGATTACTAAAACGCTGAGAACTGCATTTTTGTCAACTGAGAAAAGACGTGACGAGCTCTACGTTGATCAGACATAATGAGGAGTGGGACGAGAGCCAATCACAGCTCAGAGATGAAATGTGTGTTCATTTCTCTACCATGACTTCTGTGTTCGCTTTGAGTGCATTGTACCTGTAGCTGTAGTCGCCGCTGTTGCTGCAGAAAACATCCTTCTTGTCATAAATTGAGTTATTTTTGTTTAGCCCTAAATCACAACAGCAGTCGTCTCTGGACTTGTTGCCAATTCGCCAAGAACAGATCAGAGAATCATACTGTTCTAACACAGGAAAATGCGACAATAACACACTTATAGGAGCCAATGTCCATTCATGTTAATAAATGTCCTTAAATGTTGATAAATGTCCTTAAATGTCCTTAAACCCTCCTGCATCAGCAAGGAACAAGTGAAAAAAAAAAAACATGACAATATTCTGTGAGTCCTGCCGTATTTCCGTTTTTCCACTTTGCAAAGAGCGTCACATGTCTCCAAACACCGAACAACCCGATGACAACATCTCCAAGTTGTTGCTCCTTTTGCGTATTTTCTCCCTAAAGCAGTTCTGTCTAATAAGCAACCTTTTTGTTTAATAAATTATGCATATTTGTCTCAACAGAAAGTCTCATAAAAGAAAAATGTTGTAAATAAATAAAGAGCCCTCAGAGTCACTATTCTCACATGTCCTAGGTCAGCTTTCCACCCAGGGCTCGTTCTTATGAGTTTTCAAAGCTAACTTGTTTTCCAATAAGATGTAGACAGCATGTTGTGGTCTGGTATGTTTACAAAATGTTACTTTCTGTTGGCGCTAACAAAAGCATCAATATCCGATCGTATTCTCCCAAATTCTCCCAATAAGTGAAACCATCATAACAGATAGAGCTGGCTTTGTAGATAGAGGTTTTGGCATATGTCACATCCAAATCAGCTTTCCCTGTGTTTTCAGATTGCTGTATTTGGGGCAGTGCTGTCGCTTTGAAAACCAATCTGTCTATATTTACTCACCTGTCTTTTATCCGCACCTGAGCCGAGCTGTCTCCAAAAGATAAAACAGCTGCCCCCCGCTCTCTCAGATCACCACAGGCAGCCAGCACTCTGTTTTAAAACTCATCTCGTGTTTGTGCAGGGTGGAGCAGAGTCCTAAGTGTGTCATGAGGGGAGCCGGGGGCGAATGGCCAGTCTGAACTTCTCCAGTGCAGCCAACATGAGCAGCGTGGACCCCAGCCCGGGCCTGTTCTCCAGGAGCCCCTACACGGCTGTGGAGATCGGCCTCATCATCCTGGTGGCGAGCTCTCTCAGTCTCGTCACGGTCATCGGAAACATCCTGGTCATGCTCTCCATCAAGGTCTGTCCCGAGGTCTTCGGCGTGGAATCAAAGAGACAAGGGTTTATCTGTTCTGTCCAAATTTTTTATTGAAAGTGTACACAATCAACCTAATAATAATAATAATGCATTGGCTTTATATAGCGCTTTTCAGAACACATTATTCATTCACTCCATGCACGGTGCTGATAAACTACTACTGTGGCCATAGCTGCCCTGGGGCACACTGACAGAAGCCAGGTAAGGCAAGGCAAGGCAAGGCAAGTTTATTTGTATAGCACCGTTCATACACAAGGCAACTCAAAGTGCTGAACAAAAACAAGATAGCATTAAAATCATATATAATCACAGTACATTAAAAAGAAAAATACAAATATAAAATACACAATCCCTCAGTTGTATGTACAGCTAAACAGAACTGTTTTTAACCTGGTTTTAAACACTGTCAGAAAAGAGGACTGTCTCACATCTTCAGGAAGATTGTTCCAGATTTTTGCGGCATGAATCTGAAAAGCAGCCTCCCCATGTTTAGTTCTGACTCTGGGCACTAACAGGAGTCCAGTCCCTGTGCTCCTCAGAGTCTGGGCTGGTTCATATGGGACTAACATGTCACTAATATATTTTGGTGCGAGGCCATGGAGAGACTTGTACACAAGCAGAGCTGTTTTAAAGTCTATTCTCTGAGCCACAGGAAGCCAGTGCAGGGACCTGAGGACTGGACTAATGTGGTCGTACTTCCTGGTTCTAGTCAGGACTCGACTGGGTAACCAGTTTGTCGGCCCCTCCCACCACCACCAGCCATTCACATACTGGGCGGCATGGTGGCTTCTCAGCAAGAAGGTCCTGGGTTTGAATCCCGGTCGGAACAGGGCTTTTCTGAGTGGAGTTTACATGTTCTCCCCGTGCTTGCGTAGGTTTCCTCCAGGTGCTCTGGTTTCCCCTACCACAAAAAAATATGTACAATATATCTGAATGTAATGAGTGATTGATGGTATTGAATGGGGCTTTGATGCGCCAGTGTGTTCTCTGTAGCACTTCCGTCATCACCGTGTGTGAAAGGAAAAATATCTGATTTCCGAACAATGTAAAGCGTTTTTGGGTGAAATGTGCTTTATAAATAAATATTACTTAATTACTTGACACACCAGACTCATTTAAGGCAATGTGGGTAAAGTGTCTTGCCTTAGGACACAACAACAGTTTGGCACTTTACAGCCACAGCAGCCCCACTGTGGCACTTATGTTCCCAGGGGTCTCCTTTCACAGCACTAACCAGGACCTGCCCTGCACAGCTTCAGAGGTCTGATGGGATCTGGTTCTTGCATGCAAGGTTGGCCACATGTGTAAGACCGTAACATTTACTGCCAAGCCTAGTTTGCAACAAGTCCACAGAGACAGATGGTTTTAAAAGGGGTTGGATGAAGCACACACAGAAGTTTCATTCACCTAGAATTCATAACATCCCTTCTTTGAGTCAACATTTGAGAAAATCGATAGACGCTAAAACGACAGAGTGGGAGCTTTCATTTCAATTAAATGTATTTTTGTTTAGCCCTAAATCACAACATAAGTCGTCTCGGAGTAGATTTGCCGACAACAGATCAGATAATCAAACCGTTCGAACTCAGGAAATGCAATAATAATAAACAGGGAGCAGCCATTGGTTCATCTGGAGGAGCGGGGTCACCTGCGTCGACAAAGAATGACTCAAATTTATGACGGCTTTACAAAGAGCCCATTCACTAGTTTATACCCCAAAAGAATCTGGGCCAATTTTGATGTTTCCTTAGCCAAGACACTTCACCCACATTGCCTAGAATGAGTCTGGTGTGTGTGTGAATGGTCGGTGATGGTTGGAGGGGCCGATGGCACACACTGGTTGCCTCGCTCCTGTCAGTGTGCCCCAGGGCAGTGTATGGTGTGTTTGGAGTAAATGAATAGTGGAGCATCTTTGAGTGTCCTAAAAAGCGCTACATACAGTAAAACCACCGCAGTATTATTTTTATTATATCTAAAGAAATAAATCTGATTGGTTGTTGTTGTGATTATGGTCCCTACAGACCCTTTGGATAAGGTGGCTGTGCAAAAGATTCACCAACATACACAATTGCGACTCTAGTATATTTTTGGTTCATGTAAATCAAGTTTGTAGTTGAATAAAGTGGATCCTGAGCTCTATATTTGTCATGGAACCATAAACAACCTTATGAACAACCTGAAATCTTACTTTTGATCGTAACTTCTGCATCATTGCAACGAGATTCTTCATTTTCTTTCTCCTACATTAGATGGAAACAGAGCAGTGCGCTGTTCCCCTCTGCAGAGTGCTAATCTAATAGAAGGAAGAACACAAATCATGCTGCCCTCAAAAAGATTAGCATCTGACAGCCTGTTGTCTCATGTTGTTTCTCTAAAGGTAAACAGGAACCTGCAGACCGTCAACAACTACTTCCTGTTCAGCCTGGCCTGTGCAGACCTCATTATCGGGCTTTGCTCCATGAACCTCTACACTGTCTACATCGTGATTGGATTCTGGCCCCTGGGAGCCGTGGTGTGTGACCTATGGCTGGCTGTTGATTATGTGGTCAGCAACGCATCGGTCATGAACTTGCTCATCATCAGCTTCGACCGCTACTTCTGTGTCACCAAACCTCTCAGCTACCCAGCCCACCGCAGCACCAAGATGGCCGGGTTGATGATCGCCGCGGCCTGGGTGTTGTCTTTCATCCTCTGGGCCCCTGCCATCTTGTTCTGGCAGTTTATCGTGGGGGGCAGGACTGTGCCTCCAGACGAGTGCTACATTGAGTTCTTCTCCAACCCCGTGGTGACGTTTGGGACAGCGATCGCGGCCTTCTACCTGCCCGTGGCCATCATGATCTACCTGTACTGGCGCATCTCCATGGCCAGCCGCAGCAGGGTGAAGAGGGACTGCAGGAAGGCGTCTGGGACCAGCCTGGGAGAGGGCCCTTCTCACAGCCAGGAGGAGGGAGAGGCTCCCAGCAGCTGTCCACGCACCAAAGAGCCTGCCGTGGTGGTGCAGGAGAAGAAGAAGCAGCAGCAGCAGAATGGAAACTCACTGTGCAAAGTGGAATGCCCCGAGGAGACGGCTGACAATACAGAAGACAACGTTCAGGCCTCGACATCTGGAGACGTGGCTTCTACCAACGGCACTTCACACAATGGAGCAAATGGAGCAAGAAAACCACAGCCGCCTTCTCCAGGGAGCTCTGCGGCGGACAGGCAGAGTCTGACGACCCGCACACTCTTTAAGGTATTTCATTCACTCACTGTCATTCAAAACCATGCATAAAAAAACCAAGTCAAATTACACAAAGTTTCTGAAATGAACTGTTATTTTGCAGTAGATTCATCAATAAATGTCTATTTATCACAATTTCTGCAACATTACTAAATTATTAATTAGTTCAACTGTTTCTTAGATTGTAAAACATTCTTTTTTTATTCTCCGTACATTTAAATTTGCCTAAGACTGATCTTTCTTCTTTGAGACGGGGTTTGTATAAATAAATAAGAAATATTACGCATTATTTTTGTCCATTCAAAATGATAATGAGACTATTTACTTGAATGTGAAATAAAAATAATATCTTCAGTATGGTGAAACAAGTATCAAAAATGCTATTGGCCTGCAACTCCCTATTTTACCACCAGAGGGAGAAGTTGTATTTGTAAATTTCAATTTTTTTTTCCACCTCGAAATTGCCAAAATCTATTTATGAACTAGACTATTATTATTTTTTAACTGCTCTGAGTGTGATGTCATAGTGGTACAATGACATTTATTAGCGTGGATGGATCTAAACACCACTCCAGGTCTGTGGAGTCTGTGGAATTTGCAACAAAAAAAATTTCCTGCATCTGAATCTCAATATAACAGCTAACATAGTGTCTTAAACCTGCGTCCCCTCCCCTCCAGGTCACAAAGCAGAACGCGCTCTCCAAGTGGAAGAAGAAGAGCGCGTCCTCTCGGGAGAAGAAGGTGACCCGCACCATCATGGCCATCCTGGTGGCCTTCGTGGTCACATGGACTCCATACAACGTGATGGTCCTGGTCAACACCTTCTGCTCCGTGTGCATCCCCAGCTCCTTGTGGATGATCGGATACTGGCTGTGCTACATCAACAGCACCATAAACCCGGCCTGCTACGCCCTCTGCAACGCCACCTTCAAAAACACCTTCAAACACCTGCTGCTCTGCCAGTACAAGAACATCCGGACCACACGGTGAGACTGGGGAATGGACTGAAGCAACGCATTCCCATCCAAAATCAAAACTGTGGATAAAACGAATCATGTTTTGTAACCACGTACTATATAGTCAATGAGGGTTTTGTTTTGTTGTTTTTAGGTCTGATGCTGTATTTAAAAAAGCCACCTTTGCATGTTTTAATGACACAAACAAGCAGCGTCCTCTGTGTCCAGTCAGTCCCACATGAGGAGAGAGGCTGCTCCAGTGTCTCCCAGTGAGGTGCGGTCACAGGCTCTTGTTTGCACTTGTTGGGGATCGGCCTGAAGGCTCCTCACTGCAGCAGAACTGTCAGTCTGCACTCGTGTGTCGGCCTAGTGGAAAGAAGGGACATGAACAGGGAAGGATCGAAGAAACCAGGATGTGGAGTCTGATCACTGTACATTTGTGCATACTGTGTTTGTTGTAAGATGTTGTAATAAGATCAAACATTTCAATGACATGATGACAATATCTAAAACATTATAAATACAGTTTGATCTGTCTATAATAGTACAGATGATTATGAGCGACAATGCAACTCATAGGCTTGAAGTTTTTGTGTTCCACTTGGTTTAACCGTAGAGAACTGTTTGTTTTATCGTTTGCTATTGACAGAAGCATGTCTTACAAAATCAATCACAGCTTCTCCCCCTGTGTGTATGCAAGTGAATTATGCTGTATACACACGTCCTATCCATATCTGTAATAAAATTATTTATTTCCATAAAACACTATCAAAATCATCATTTTGCAACAACAAAGGAGCAACTTCCACTACAGCTCCACTAAGAACCACTGTGTATAACCCCGTCCTAAAGACAGGGATCAAAGTAGGAACTTTACCTTACTTCAGCCATTTTACCAGATGTGACAAGAAATACTGAATTTGATGAATATTGTTGCAGGTTACTAAAAGTGACAACGATAATCTAGTTGTGGCTTATTATATTAGGCATAAACCAAATAGATGGAAAAGAGGACAGTTAACGACACTAAACACAATTACAAGAATAAGATACACACTGAGACAACAGAAAATTAACCATTTACATGTGTACACAACAGGTTCCATGGTCGGGAGAGGGAGGCTCTGGCCCCACCAGGTTCCAGGCAGAAAGCTTCCCTACATGTTATAGAAATATGGTCTACAGACAGAGAGAGAGGTCAGAGGTCCCCACAGAGGATGATGTCACAGAAGTTTAACATTTGATTTGCCAAACATATTCCATCTTTCTTGATAAACACACGTCTTATACTTGCTCTGTGTAGCGCTTTTGGATTAGTGAGTGTATGAATACGTGACGATGAGCTCATAGTTCGATGTCCTCAGACGGCTCCTGGGTCCGGCTCAGAGGAGTCTGATGCTGGTGATGTAAACACGTGCACAGGCTGTTTCTAATGACACTGTGTTTGTAATGCACTCATGTCTAACTGTTATTAAAGTCAACACATGTCAGAGGAGGAACAGGGAAGGAGGTCAACACTCAATGAGCTGTAATCATTTCATTAAATCCACATTATTTAGGCAGCTTTATATTCACGGGCTTCAGCTTCTCAGTTCATGCAGCATTTTGAGGGCCCAAACAAAAACAGTTTGATCACTGTTTGAACATATATTTAGTCCCATCTTTAGAAAAACTTTTTCAGACAGAAAAGGGAAAAAGAGACCACCCTCAATCAGCTCTCAGCTCCAAACTGCCTACACTGCAAAAAGTATGAAGTAGGCTTGAATCAAAAGGTATTTATTTTTACATTTTTTATTGAACCAAGATTTGCCAATGGGACAAAGCCATTTATCTGTTCAACTGTTGCTTCATTTTTTCATTCCTAGGGAGACATATCTGGTTTTAAGACAGTCAAAATGTGCTCAAATTATACATTTTGATAAATTTTGCCAAATTTGAGCAATTTTTGATTTTCTGTATTGTAGTGACTAGTAAAAATGACAATAACATGTTTATTTTTATATGATGAAGACAAATGTGGTGGTCTAATTTGTTCACAAAATGTTGTTTCGTATGTTTTTATTGGCGTTCATGAGAAACACCTTTTTACGTTTCTTAGTCAAACAAAGACAATTGGAAAACAGAGCAAAATAATTCTACTTCAACAATAGTTCAAACGACCTCTCCAAAGAAATACACCATTACCGTTGCGTTTCGATAGTATTGCACTGAATCGATGTAGTATCTATATGTAGAGCAAAAGAAACCCCCACGCCCCTCACTCTAAGGAAAAAAATTATGAAATAAATAAATACATAAATCAAATAAAAAAGGGGGATCCATTATTCTAACTTAAAACTCCAAGTGAGGCTAACTCTAAGTTAAAGAACAAAATAAACTCTTGCTCACAACATTTTAACATTTTAAAGCTCAAAACTATAATTAATTCATGAACAAAAATTATAGGTACCCCAGCTTTAATACAGCTCATATAAAGGCCTGTAATGTGTGTGTGGAGAGCGCAGCCTCCATGTTCTGCTGTTTAGTCAACACAGAGCAAAAGTCACCGTCCGCACACACACACACACACACACACACACTGTCCCCATCACACTACCTCGCTCAGTCCCCTGTGAACGATGGAGGGGGCCCAGGACAGCTCTGCGTCTGATCCAGGAGCCATTAGGCCAGGAGACGACTGGAGCTCCCCAAGAGAAATCCCCAACCTGCTGCAGATGCTCCAGGCCTCAGAAAGCAGGAGAATGGGACTGGCCAAGGACAGAGGGGCAGGCAGCCCTGTGGGAGAGGTCACCGAGGCGCTCAAGACGGACATGGTGAGAGTTTTTCCATGTTTCAAAAGTAAACCAGGTGTGAGTGTGCATATATATGAGCGGTTAATCTTTCAGTAACATGAAAGGTTACATAACAAGTGAATGTTTTACTTAAAATAACTGGTCATTGAAGTCTCATAGGAATTGTTTGGATCTAGTGGGCTGTGATTATTATAGGGATGTATCATGGAGTTATTCAGCTTCCAAGGCAAAAATATAGATTAAATAGAATATAAATATATCATTCTAATTTTTAGATTGTTACTTTAACATTATTTTTTTATTATTTTATTGTGAAATACTATGCAAGCTACTGTGACAACACAATTTCCCTTGTGAATCAATAAAGTCTGTCTAAGTCTAAGTCTAGATATGAGACTTTTTGTCAACTTGTAGATAGTAAAGATCATTCAATTCACTCAACTTTTAAGCTGGAGTACCCAACTTCCCTTTTATGATTCAGCTTCGCAGAAAAAATATGGATAGACTTATAGATATAGTAAAATATCATTTATTAAAGCTGGAGTACCTAACTTTCCTTCACTTCCTTTCCTTACCTAACCTTAAAACAAGGCCAGACAAGTTTATATGTATAGTACAGTTCATACACAAAGCAACTCAAAGTGCTAAAAAAAACAGACAAGGCAATAAATAATCACAGTACATTAAAAAGAGTGAAGATAAAATCCCTCAGTTGAATGCACAGCTAAACAGAACAGTTTCTAATCTGGATCTGAGAAGAAGCCTGTCTCACATTTTCTGGAGGTCCATGTAAAACAAGGTACAAACTAAAATCTAAATTGAAAAACTCCATTGCTCTCAAAACAATTTGGTTCCATCACTAGTTTTCTCATGTATGTACTTTCAGTCACATCGTTCGATTAGTCTTATCTGTCAGAAAAGTGAAAAACTGAGCATGCCAATTAAATCCTTTAATTCAGGGATTTCAAAGTCAACAACCCGAGGGCCAGACTGGTTCAATGTTTATTAAAACATATTAAAAAGATTGCATATAACCTATTGAACCAAGACCTAACACAATGGACCTTATTTTATTTCATGTTTAAATGAATAATCCAATATTTCTTCTGGCTCTCTAAGTCATTTCACAGACTCACAGACAAAAACTAATTTCCTTCAAAGAGAAAACATATGTCCTGAACATTACATCAATAATCCAATATTTTCTTATGGTCATGTGCTGCCAGTTCTAATACAATTCAAATATCATCCCGGGGGCCAAGATAATTCATTCGCGGGCCAGATCTGACCAAGCCCCGGCGATCCAAGATGGCGCCCTATTCAAATGAATGGTTGTGCTCAGTGGCGCTTTGTGACAGCATGGGGGCTGAAAGATTAGCGGAAGTTGCCTGAAACTCGCAAAGATCTATGGGAAACTCGCCTGTATTTGGGCATTGTCTGGTCCTCCCGGTTCTGCGCAGTGGATGATCTCCCATAATGCGTTGCGCCAAACACGCGTGTGTGGGTCTCACACCGGGTCTCACGCACGTGCACAGAGGGGCTCGGCCGCGCTCTGACCAATCAGAGCAGTTCATCAGAGCGGGAGTTAGAGCGAGAGCCAGAGGAGCAGAATTTGTGGCACTAAAGTGTGGATTTAAACAAAACCAAAGGATTTGAAAAAAAGTTCAGGATGACAAGGGACACTAAAATCCCTACAAAATCTGACCTTTATTAAAGCTGTAGGTTCTCTGTCAGCTGAGGTTGAGCTGTTTTAATATGCATTGAGTTCTATGGGGAAAATTTCTGGGTAGCCCACGTGAATTTAGTCTGGTTCAGTCTGCAGTACCGCGAGAATCCCCTGAGCACGTGAGTTATTCAGCTACAAGCTAGTAATACCCTATCCAGTTAATATAATACATCCATGGATCTGACCCCCGGGTCTTCACTTTGACACTCATGCCTTAAGAAACCTGCCTTTGATCCCATTGGCTCACAGCGCCACCAACAGGCCTGGTGTAGTCTCAAAATGACGTGCGCTGACATGCTTGCAATACCACCCCGGGCCGATGGGGGTGGACCCCGAATAAGACTTAGCCAATGCTAACATATAGCATCTTCTTACCTCTTGAAAACACCTTGACAGGATCGTCCAAAAGTTGGCTCTTGGCCCAAAGCTCCGTTCCACATGTGTGTCAATGCTGAGGGGGGTGAATATTTTTGGATCAGTCTAGTTTACTCGCTGTGAATCTTTGAAGGCACTTGTTAAATGTGAATGTGGCTCGTGCCGGCTGACGCATGCGCAGATGCTTTTTTTCACATTTTCCAGCCCCCGCTGCCATTTTTAACTGCCCATAGACCGCGGAAGTTGTGGCACATTAGTTAGAATGGAGATAGCTGTGACTACATCCGTTAAAATTTCAGTTATATGGTTTTGACTCCATTCAGAGTTGGAGATTATAAATAGCTTTCTTATTACTCTAAAAATGGAGATACTTTATTTAGTATAGAGTTTAGAAAAGAATATAGAGCTGTCGTGTGCGCCTCATTCCTACTGTTCTGTTATCAATCAATTATCTTTATTTATAGAGAGCTTTTCCTACACAGGGCACACCAAACAAAGCACAAATCATCACATAAAACAAACACCAAAATCACCCTTAAAAACACAATTAAAATCACCCCTCTATAATGTAAGGTTTTTGCGACCAAACAATCTCTTTTCTTTTCTCTATGAGTCCATATATAGAGCATGTCGGCTGGGCATGTATGAAGCCTGACCCTCTCTGAGCTCTCTTTTGTGTCCTTGGCCATAATGGACGTGGTTTAAAGGCACATGTCTCCGTCCCGTCGTACACTGTTCATTCACAAAGACTTCATTTATTCAGACTTTTCTCACTGCGCTCTTTGTTGCACCTGTCACCTGGACTGGGGCTGTGAGGGGAGGGAGGGGTGAGGTGGAGGTGGTGGTGGTGGTGGTGGAGTCAGGCTGCAGGACACAGTGTGCATCGGACGGGTGTTTGGGGAGGTGAGGGTCCACTCTGACATGAGGAAAGTTTATTCTTTTGTGGGACTGGGGCGAGCCAAGGAGCAGGAGTCAGTGCAGGCCCTCTGTATCAAGGTAATTCTGTGTTTCTTCACTCAAAAAGGCTTTTGACGCAGTGTTTAGATGGATTTTGTTATTGAAAAGCAGTTAACAATCGAAAATTTGGCATGTATTCAGTCCAGTCTTCAGTTTCGGTTTTGACATTCTTGATTTATTTTCCCATTGAGAGTCAAGAGTCATGCCACATCGGGCTCTGTTCATATTACCAGAAAATCTAAATATCTTGAGTAAACTTGAAGGAAAGAATTTGCCACTTTTGGAGGAGAGCTGATTGCGTCGCTCTTTTTCATTTCTCTGTTCAGCTGTTGTGACAGAGGCCAAGAATACATTGGATACAACTGTTACGAGAGCAAAGAACTTCTGCACTGTACCTACACTGTACCTACACTGTACTTACTGGACTATAAGCTGCTACTTTTTTCAACTCCTGTGATCTCTGCGGCCTATGTAGTACAGGTACAAGTGAAACTCAGAAAATTAGATCGCTCTAAAAGTGTATTTATTTCTGTCATTCAAATGTGACACCAGTTTATGACAGAGACTCATGACATGCAAAGTGACATATGCTAAGCCTTTGTCTGTTATGATGTTGATGTCTGTGGCTCCATTTTCAAAATATTCTAATTTCCTGAGATGTTTTTTGTGGGGATTTTAAAAAACGTTAAAATCACTGACTCTTTTGCGAGCTGTATCTTGTGAGTAACCGTGTATTACAATTGACCTAACAACTTATTTGCTCTGGCAACAGTTTGTTTTTACATGCATCTCTTTTTTGGCCTCCGTCACTTCCACCTTTTCACACACACAGACACACAGAAGAATAACAAAGATAAATAAACAAATCCTTTGTGGGACAGGTATTATGCTGTTCAGTTTGTGCGTCTTGTGAGGTAAATCCTAAGTTACTATGTGTTATTGCAGATGTAGTAAATCAAAGCCCAAAATAAAGACGACTCACTGTCTTGCTTAGTAAATGACTGATTGATTGTCTTCACAGCAAATACAAGTGAGTGACCAGGACCAGGATTGTGGCCAGCATCACACCTTGATGCCACAGGGCTCTCGCTCTCACTCCTCCAATGAAACCTCCTCAGGTTCGTGCTTTTCGAGTTTTTAATCATGTTATTGTGATGCTTTGTCAGTTTACTTCCCAGGCTCAACACTTTCTCTCTCTCACTCCACATGTGGCACAATGCAAACAGACCACATACTGAAGACAGAAACATTTATAATGCAAAATATGTGGAATTATAGAAATGATTTAATGACGTACGGTCCAATGCACTGAGGCTCTATAGCAGTGGTTCCCAACCTTTGTGGCCTGTGAACCCTTTTGCCAACATAGACAGGGCCCAATATTTGTGGTGATTGGGAAACAAACTCAAACTCATTCTGACATTTTTGCTTCACTGTTGTAACTATTTGGTCTCCATCTTTTTCTTGCTACGATGTTCCATCCATCCATCCATTTTCTACCCTTTAATCCATTTCTGGGTCAGGGGGGTGGCAATCAGAGATGCCACCCAAGTCTCATAGCACCAGCCCCTCACTGACCCTCTGCAGGTGGTGAGTCCACAGGAGGACGGCTGCTCTCTGACTGTGAGCATAGCCTTGATCTTTCAGTGGGGGCTTTTGGCAAAGTGGGGTTAAGTGTCTTGCCCAAGGACACAACGACAGCAGTCATCAGTGGGAGTCGATGGAGAAGGTGCAGAGGTGGGAATTGAACCCACGACCTTCTGGCCTTAAGGCCAATGCTCTACCAACTGAGCTACTGTCGCCCCTTGCTACGATGTTGTTTTGTTTTCCGAAAACAACATGCTACGATGTTGTTTTCGGATTATTTTACTTTCATTTTATTTGTTTTTATAATTTTGGGACTTGGACCAAATTACTACCTGTATTTAACTTGAGTCTTGTTTTTTCCTGAACAAAATTAGTACATGCTTGGACTGAACCAAAATCAAAGCAAAAGTAAGAAGTATTGCTATTGGTACTGACAGACTTATAGATCATTTTTATGATCTATGACATGACGTCACTACATACGGGGATTTGCCGACCCGGCGCCATTTGTCTTGGCATTCTGGGGGCCAAATAATAGAAAAAGAAGCTGAAACGTGTGATAAAGTTGAAAATGGTCGTCTCCTGCTGGGTCAATGGATGTTCTAATCGTGCCGGATGTTCAGTTAAACTTGGATTTTACAGTATACCCATCATTAGACTTCATGAATGTGAGAAGACTAAGCTTTTGTCAGAACAACCACGGAGGTTATGGCTTGCGAAGATAAACAGGCAAGAAACTCCCTCAAAACACGCAAGAATATGCTCGGAGCACTTTGTGTCAGGTGCGTATCGTATCTTATAATGTGTTGACAGACGTAATTTACTCAGTACTAACTTGTGTATGCTGATAGCTGGTAACTTGAGAGTTTCATTATTTAGCGTTAGATTACTTTATTATGAGGAGGATCGGTGTCGCGTCCGAGGCTCTCGAGGGCAACGTAAATGTATTAAATAGATAATAATAGTTCTATGGTGGGCTAAAACAATGTTCACAAACAGCATTGCTTCTGTAAAAAGATCTGTGTCATAAAATAAACTGCTCTTTACGCCTGGAAAAATCAGTTGCCCACCATTCACCAAAACATACGGTCAAAAACGCGGAAATAAACAATAACAGCAATCCAGAGTGTCCGTGTGGCATTAGCATTAATTAAATTAATTGTTAATATAATTAAAATAATTAAATGGAGCTCCAACTGGTATTAAATCTAAAGTTTTTGAGAAATGTTTGCATTGCTTGTTAATTTTTGCTGCATAATTTGATCAAATATGTAAAACATGTCCGTAGCACGTTAAACTGTGGTGCCATTGTATTAATATACAATTATTTGCTCAAAAGTTGCCCTTTTTTTCCAATTTGCGTTTGAATATCTACATTTATTCTCATTCTTCTGTTTAATGGAATGCACAAACACAGCAGCGTGCCATCAAAGATGGCGTCTCCGAGGAGGTCATGTGACATTCATTGGTCTGTGGGAACTATGTATAACATGCCATAGTAGTTCATGTTACCCTCTTCCTATCTTTGTACTTCCTGTAATACCCTTACATTCCCAGGGTTGGGGAACATTGCTCTATACTACTTTGTCTATGGTACAGTCAAGACTTTGTTGGTAGCCTTGCATTACGCTGAGGACATACTAGGAGGTAATATTTTTGATGGAAAAGCACGCAAACTGGACCGTGCCGTATTGTTTAGTGTTGAGCCGTATCGTACTGATACTGTGGAAAAGCGGCATTACTGTACTTGCTGGACGGAAAACGCACCAATATATATACCACACCAGCTCAATTTTAAAAGAAATTCAATTTTTTCCACATATAGGCCTCACCTGAATATAAGCCCCATTTTCCCATGTTATAATTAAATGATAAACCCACAAAGATGACTGTTTTATCTGGACACAACATGAATTAAAACACCGAATGTGTTTTAACGCACTGTTGACTCTTTATGGACAAAGCTAAAGATAAATAAGACAATGAACATTAGCTCACGTTAGCAAACATCACCTGAACTTTTAGCTTCTGTGTCTTGACTCATTGACCAATCTGTTTTTAACAATGAACTTGTGTCCTGTAGCATCTAAATGGAGTCAAGTTCATATACTCTGCTCTGCTCTATTCATGTAAAACAGCTCAATTTCCTCAGCTTTTAATCCAGTAATTACTTCTTTGTTTTACAGTGAATGGTGACAACTTCACAGATCCTGAAAGTCCCAGAAACATAGTCCAGACGACCTCCAGAGGCCTGAATGACTTTTGCGTCAAAGACATAAAAAATGTGGCGTCTGGACGAAAAGAAATCAGACTGGCAGAACAAGGTAACTGTGCAGTGTCTGATAGAAATTAAAAATCATAATAATAATTCAAATCTATGTGTGTTTTTTTGTTCTCAGAGATGCCAGCACTGATGGAGCTGAGGAGGAGGGCAGGAGGAGAGAGGCCTTTAGCTGGAGCCAAGATAGTGGGCTGTACTCACATCACTGCACACACTGCTGTAAGGGACCGGTGGTTTCAAATTGTCTTCATGAAGGTTTCAAGATAAGGCAAAACGCAAAAATACTAGTCTCAACAATATCAAAACGCCTACCGGCATTTGTGAGATATTTGCATTGAATTAGCGACATCTAGTGGTCAGAATTTGCGTTGCAATTATCCACCAAACTTAGAAAGTATGTATGAATAGAAGATTTGGTTTACCTTATAGAAGTATCAATGTTATAGAGCGTCTTTTTCAGTAATGTCAATCAGTTAAAACAGTTGAAACTAAAAAACTAGAATATTGCTTTTATTATTTTGTCATTCAACTTACAATGTGAAACTGATAGATGTCCAGTAGCAGCAGAAACACATGCATTCATACAAATAAAACAAATAAATAGATCATTCTAAAAGTAGCTAGCAATAGTATTAAAATGCAACAGCACTTCAAGTCACAGCAGCAGAGGGTGGTATATGTTACATGACAGACTCATGACAGGCAAAGTGACGTACATCAACTATGATTGAGTCACAGCTGTAAAAGCCCCAAATAAAACCTCTCAGTGAAATAGAATATTTTTCATTTTTTTCTTAATTAAACAATTATTTACTCCATACTTGGTGGTAGATAAATTCTTGCTGTAGCCACAACTCCCTGGGCCGGCTGACAGAAGAACACACACACACACCAGAGTCATTCACATGAGCAAGCTGGAGCAAATGTCCTTTTAATGGGCATTTCTTTTCCGACTGCGTTTTTGCCATAACGGAGCAGACAAGATTCTTGTTGTAAACTCCTAAGAAGAGGAGTTTTCTGTACACGTCAATAAGAACTAGAGCAAGTTGAGGCAAAACTTCATCCATGAGCACTTCCCAATTGGGCTTGATTGAGCTTGCGGGTTAGCATTGCCCAACTGTATGCAGTGTATGATGGGACATGTGTTGAAACAGCTCTCTTGTTGCAGGTGCTGATAGAGACCCTCTGTGTGTTGGGGGCCCAGTGTCGGTGGGCGGCGTGTAACATCTTCTCCACCCAGAACCGTGTGGCCGCAGCTCTCGCCGAAGCAAGTCAGAGCAGCCCCAATACTCTGCACCTGTGCTCCCCCCACCCACCTTTATAACACCTCTGTGATCCCCCCAGGTGTAGCTGTGTTCGCCTGGAGGGGACAGAGCGAAGAGGACTTCTGGTGGTGCATTGACAAGTGCATCAGTGGAGCCTGCTGGCAGCCCAACATGGTACGGACCATGAAGAGAGACTGGTGTCCTGCAACTGTGTTCTCTGAGACATGTTTTGACTTAAATGTAGAATGTTGATTATTTCAGAAAATTAGCAAATAATTCCAACTGTGTATTTTGGAAACAAACACACCCCACGTCAAGCTAATACATGTGTGGCAAAAATACCAGTTACAAGTACAAGAAGTATAGCTACTAGTGCAGAAAGCGTTGAATTATTCCAAACTTAAGTAAAAGTATAAGCTTTTGTTGTATTTTATTATTGAAGTAATGCATATTTACCATGCCATATAACGATGTAGAGTCATTTAAATTAGGTATTTTGCATAAATGCTATATTTTAATCAGTCCCGTGCCTTGGAATAACTAACACCTGCAATATTTGATGGAGGAGCAACTTTTATTATCAATGGAGCTTTTTGCACCATTTTCTGCCAATGGACAATTGTCTGGAGTCATAACATAAACCTCTACTTCTTTATTGAGTAACATTAAAATAAAAACAACCTCATGTTAACATAGTTGAATAAAACATTTCCTGCAAATTAGAAGGAATTTCAAGCTGGAGTACCCATAACCTTCAAATCAAATACAGCAGAACTATGTAATCAAATATCTAACACATTCATGACTCACATGAACAGATTTCAGACAAAACAGATTTTAAAAAAATACAGGACAATCAGCTCTCAGCTCAAATAACAAAAGGTGACATGTGTTCAATTTGATGAGTTGGAGGTTTTTGAACTCTCTGGTCAGGATCATGTAAATAATAGATACATAAAAATAATACGCACACAAAAGCATTGAAAATAACCACTTTTGTGTTTTATGAAAATCTATTATTATGGTTTTCTGTCTAGGCCAAAGGAGCCATTACAAGGAGCCAAGCAAAAAAGCTATGAATAACTCAATAAAAAACAGTCTTCCTTAATGAATGAAACACACTCAATAGATTTATTTGTCAGATTTTAGACAACGGAAGCGACATGACGCACTGGATCCAGAAGAAATACCCGAGCATCTTCAAGCAGCTCAACGGGATCGTGGAGGAAAGTGTGACCGGAGTGTACAGGTGAGTGTCCAGTGTCCGCTAACCCTGACCCTTCAGAAGCTCCATGACCACCTCAGCCTCTTCCAGACTGTACCAGCTCTCCAAGGCCAGCCGCCTCATCGTCCCGGCCATCAACGTGACCGACTGCGTGACCAAGCAGAAGTTTGACAACCTGTACTGCTGCAAGGAGTCCATACTGGATGGGTAATACCTGCATGTCTTCTTAAAATGTATCAGTTATTGATTGAGTTTTGAAGGGTTGGATGGAACTTATCTTTCTTAGTTTTGTTTTCATCAGTTTTGTGGTAGTTTGTGAGAAAAAGTTAGAACGTAATACATACTGTACATAGATAGATACTTTATTGATCCCTGTAGTTCAGGTGTCGAGCAGCAGCCACAAATCCATACAAACACATAAATACATAAATTATAAATGTTTCTAACTATCTAACTAATAAACAATAGTTCACATCTTATAGCCAAAGAAACAAAGGATCTCTTGCGAATGTTAAGTTATAAAAAAGTATGTCATCATAACAAAATATACAGTCTATAAAGTGTACATGTACACACAGGAAACCCATATTACTGATAGTTTAAACAAAAACTTCTATCTGTAGCCGTAAAAGGGGGTGGTGACTACAGGGAAAAGTTTCATGCATACACTCACCTGCACTTCATCCACATTACCACAACACAACAAAATAACAGTGTTGTCCCTGACTTCCTCATGTCAATTAATAATAGTAATAATAATTTTGGACACTCAAAGACACTTCACAGCATTATTCATTCACACCATAAATATATAATTACTTGACGCTAAAACTGTCACACAACCAGTGTATGCCATCGGCCCCTCTGAATTATACACGCACACACCAGACTCATACTATAAGTGTCTTTCCTAGGAACACAACAACAGTTACAGCTACCCCACTGTTTCCCCTGGTGTTCCCAGAGGTCTCCCATCCCGATGCAAACCAGGGTCTGCCATGTTCAGCTTCTACATGATGGGATATGGCTTCCACGTGCAGGTGGAGCCACAGTAACAGCATTTTGTATGAAATCAATGAGGAAAAGAAATTATAGAATCGAGCAAACAGCAGTTTAGTTTAAGAGTTTAAGAAGTCAAATGAAGTGTAAAAATGTGTGTAGCCTGTCCCTCTCATATTTAAATGTGAATCGTAGCTCTTCATCTTCTTGCATGATGTGTGTGTGTGTGTGTGTTTTCCAGGCTGAAGAAGGCCACCAACGTAATGCTGGGGGGCAGACAGGTGGTGGTGTGTGGCTATGGAGAGGTGGGTTCCTGGTGAGCGGACTTGTGGTCAGGTGTGGTACTGCAGACTGACCTCCGGTGCTTACAGGTGGGTAAGGGCTGCAGCGCCGCTCTCAAGGCCCTGGGAGCAGTGGTGTACGTGACCGAGGTGGACCCCATATGTGCCCTGCAGGCTGTGTAAGCATCACACTATCACAACCGAATGGAATCTTGTGTTTTCACCAAATATCCACATTCACTAAGATATATCAAGATTAAGAGATCCTTTATTTTTCCCACAGGGGTGAAATGTCAGTGTTTAAGAGGGAATTTATTGTGCTTAATACAGATATTTCACTTCTTTCATCTAATATTTCATGGTTTTGCATCCCAAGCTTAAGTGCTGATAAAATAGTCTGTTCAACTTTTAGCCACTACTTTTTTCAGGATATTTAAACCCTGCAGCCAATGCATATATTATTTTTGTGGTAGATTATCTCCTGGGCACAGCTCATATATTGGCTGTGGTTCATGTTTATGTGAACGGCAGAGAAAGTCGACACAAGCAGATCCACTGATTAAAAGTGACTTGTTAGTAATGTGGTTTGGGCTGTTGTCAGAGCAGAATTTATGAACTAATTATTTGGACTGTATCCCGTTTTAGTAGCTGCAGGACGCACAGTTGTTGTCAAAATAGATAAACGGCAAATGAGTCGTGGAAGCTAACAGTTAATGTTTGTTCATTGTGTAATTTACAAAGCAGTGCATCAAAAATGTTTGTTTTTTAATCATGCTGTTGTTCCCAGTAAAAACAATCTCTCTGCACGGCCGTTATCTAAATGTAAATCCTCTTTTTGACAAGTTTGTGTTTTATCTCAGCATGGACGGCTTTCAGGTGATCAAACTGGGGGAGGTGGTGCGACAGGCGGACATGGTCATCACATGCACAGGTTATTGTACATTTTCTATTTTATTCATTTATTTAAGTCACCTCAAGAAGAAATATTGCAAAAATATATGGAAAAACAAGTATGAAGGGTACTTCAATTTTCACATTGACTTCCAAATTTGAAAATTACTGTTTGAAAACTAATTGTAAAGAATGTTATTACTAGGCAATTCTTTTGTTTTAAATGTGTGTGATGTCATAGCAGGACAATGACATCACATTATTACAGCGCTTAGACAGAAGGGGTGGGGGAGTTATATACAATATTTGTGCCAAAAGTTCCTGATATGAATGTCGATGGATCTAAAAACAACTCCAGAACTGTTTTTTGATGAAGGAACAATGTTGTGAATTGGATAAAAGCTGAAAGAAATCAATTTGCATATTATACTGTATATCTTTAATGACAGATACACGTTTTTGTCCACAGGAAACAAAAATGTGGTAATGCGTGAACACATGGACCGGATGAAGAACCGCTGCATTGTGTGTAACATGGGCCACTCCAACACCGAGATCGACCTGGTAAATGCTGCTGTGTGTCTGGATGTGTTTGTGACGTGTGTGTCTGACCCTGTGTCCGTCACTGCAGGCCAGTCTGCGCACGCCTGAGCTGCAGTGGGTCCGAGTGCGGCCCCATGTGCAGCATGTGGTGTGGCCCGACGGGAAGAGGATCCTCCTGCTGGCCGAGGTGAGGAGGACTGACAGTACGCACACTGACCGCCATGTTGTGTTAAAGCTGGGGTACCTAACCTTTTTGTCTCATTATTAACCCTTCAATGGTTTTGAGTCACTATCTACTACTTGAAGCTTGGAACTGAAATATACCTGTTTGTGGCATCTCTCTGGGTTTTTAGGCACTTTTACCACCAAATTAAAATAAAAAAATAAATAATTCTTTCAATGGAGAATACAAAAATTCTCCATTGTGAGATCAATAATGCTTTTTATTATCACATCATCTATCTTAAGCATCTCAACCATTTGGTAAAGCTCTGTAATAAAAAAACAAGGTGTTAAAAACAAAACAAAACAAAGAACAAAACACTAATTATTTGTGTTATGGCTGCTTCTACTTCTTTAAAAAAAAACAAAAAAATGATTAAATGACATTGCTTTCTTCAAGGAGGGAAGATTAAAGGGTTAATATGGGGGCTCGCGGTTCACCTTTTGCGGCCTCGCTGTTTTGCAGATTTTTTTTGGTGACGTTATGCATGTTTTTCTAGTTTCTCTAACCGCAGCCCTAACCAACACCATGTAACCTCTAGTATAATTTAATTTAATTCAATTCAAACAATTTTATTTATCCGTGAGGAACTTCATTTGCAGACAGAGCCACAGTGGGGACCCATAAAAACACAGAGACACAATATATAAAACACAACAACTTAACAGTAAAACTTTATTCACAGTGAGGAGTACATTTTTGTGTCTTCCTGTAGCCCTCAGTCCTGCTCCTGCCCCTCAGTGCGGTGTCCTCTGTAGTTGTATTTTACTGTGTATGCACGGCTTTTGACAGCTGCAGCAGGTTTGACATCTCGATGGCTCTTCAGCTGTCGTGAGTTCAGGTGGTTAGAAAAGTGTATAAAATTTTGGTGAGGGGTTTTACAGCCTTAAAACAGAGCTGCTATTTGGCTTATTGCAGGTTATTTTTCTCACCGGTGGTAGAACAAACCAGTGATAAAAAAATGTACATGTTCTTTATTCCAACAGAGAAAGGAATATTTTGTGAACAAATCAGACTTTAGTTTAATAGAATACATGCTATATTTTGCAAACTAGTAAGACAGAGAGCGAACAAATACATGCATAGGAAAACTGGTGATAGAAATCCTGAGAGATTTTTATATGGCTTTGATCACAAAGAAAAAGACACCTGTAAACGGGTTTTGCTGCTTACACTCGCACTATTGCAGCTTATGGAGATTTTCCTGTAGATCGTTCTCAGCAACACAATACTTTTCACTCTTGATTCAACAAGTTGCTATAAGGGAGTGCCACAGGGGTCAATCCTGGGTCCTCTTCTGTTTAATATTTACATGTTGCCTCTAGGTCAGTTGATTCACAGTAATAATGTCTCTTATCACAATTACGCTGACGATACTCAGGTCTATGTGTCCCTGACAGCAGGAGAGCATGAACCAGTGGACTCGCTCCTTCACTGTGTCCAGCAAATCGGTGATTGGATGCAAAATAACTTTCTCCAACTAAACACCGACAAAACTGAAATACTTGTTTTCGGACCCCAGAAACAAAGAGAGAGCGTTATTTGTCACCTCCAGGCTCTCTCTCTACAACCCTCAAATCAGGTCAGAAATCTAGGAGTGATAATGGACTCAGACTTAAATTTCAAAAGCCACATAAAATCTGTAACATCAGCAGCTTATTACCACCTAAAAAACATTGCTAAAATTAAAAACATAGTGTCTAAGGCAGACTTGGAGACTCTTATACACGCTTTTGTCTCCAGTCGGTTAGACTATTGCAATGGCCTGCTCACAGGTCTGTCCAAACAGGCTGTAAAACAGCTGCAGTACATTCAACATGCAGCAGCTCGAGTCCTGACCAGAACTAGGAAGTACGACCACATTAGTCCAGTTCTCAGGTCTCTGCACTGGCTTCCTGTTCCTCAGAGAATAGACTTCAAAGCAGCTTTACTTGTGTACAAGTCTCTCCATGGTCTCGCGCCAAGGTACATCCATGACATGTTTGTGCCATATGAACCGACCCGGACTCTGAGGAGCACAGGGACTGGACTCCTGTTAGTGCCCAGAGTCGGTACTAGACATGGGCAAACTGCATTTCAGATTCATGCGGCTAGAGTCTGGAACAGTCTTCCTGAGAATGTGAGACAGGCGTCTACTCTGGCATCTTTTAAATCTAGGCTCAAAACAATTCTGTTTAGCTGCGCATATACAACTGAATGATTTTATCTTTTCATCTTTGTTTTTATCTTTAATCTTTTTAATGCACTGTGACTATTTATGATTTTAGTCCCATCTGTGATTTTAATGTTTAAAGGTTTTTAATTTTTGTGATTTAATTTTTAATGTTTTTAATATATCTTGTGCTCTTAATGTGTTTGATTTATGCATGATGTGATAGGGGATGTGAAGCGCTTTGCGTTGCCTTGTGTAGGAAAGGCGCTCTACAAATAAACGTTGATTGATTGATTGATTGATATAATGATCCACTGCTCTGAACTTTTATTGTTTGACTAAAGTGTACTCACCTCTGCATATTCAAACACACGACATTAGTTAACAAATGATTTACCTATGACATTCAGCACCTCTGTTTCAAATAAAATGTACACTCTAAATAGATTATATATTTATCTATGTTATTATTATATGATACTCCTCACATAATTCCATGTGTTGTCAGGGCGGCCTGCTGAACCTGAGCTGCTCCACAGTGCCTTCTCTGGTCCACTCCATCACTGCCACCACACAGGTCTGTCTTTCCCACGTTCTCAAACACGTTCTCTCCTCCTTTGATGGTTTACCCTGGTGTTCTGCTTCAGGTTCTGGCTCTCATGGAATTATACAACTCCAGAGACGGACGCTACAAGCAAGAGGTCTACCTGCTGCCCAAGAAGATGGGTCAGTGTGGCGTGTGTCACTTCTTTAGCGCTCGAGAACTGCACACATCACATCAGCAGTACATGATCACTTCTGTAATGATTTGATATTCTTCATTTGAATGGTACGGTCTGTCAGACGGAGGTAATAAATCGTCATGGCGCCCAAACTTTAGTTCTAAACAAACCTTTCTACTTTTAAATGAGGATGATTATGAATTATTACTTAGAAATAATAATAACAGATACATTTTATATTGGACTTATTTGGATGCAAAGACCCATCACATGTCATTGGTATTTTACTCAGTGCCTTCTGCTCCTCTGACCACCACCAAACATTGGCACACACCTGGCTCATTTGGGCCAAATTGGGTCACAACAGTTTGGTACTTTATTGCCACAGCCGCCGCCAACGTGTGTGTCTGAGGTCTCCCATCACAGCACTAACCAGGACCTGCCCTGCTTAGCTTCAGAGGTCAAACAGGATGTGGCTTTCACATGTAGGTGTCGTCCCAATGACAAGAATTAAAATTATTATCTGGAAATATCTCATCTGTAACCTGTCCTTTGAGATCTCCTTTGCTTCACTGGTGATTTGAATAGAATTTGATACGAGGTGTTCAAACTTTAACGTAACTGTTGTTAGTAACTAAAATGAAAAAAGAAATGCTTAAAATGCAATTAATGGAAGTAAACAATATAGCTATAGCTCTACAGTTACAACATCCATCACATATTGAAAATGAGTTGATACCCTAACATCGGTGATGGAAAATGTATAAATGTCTTTCTTTATCTACTGCATTATATACTGTGTGTGAAGCAGTGTCTGTGGATTATACTGCTGTTACACCTGTGTTTACAGATGAGTATGTGGCCAGTCTCCACCTGCGCTGCTTCGACGCTCACCTCACAGAGCTGACGACGGAACAGGCCAAATACCTAGGGGTCAGCAAACAGGGGCCCTTCAAACCCCACTACTACAGGTAATATATACATGTGTACTAGTACTACAGGTGTTAGATACATGTGTACTTGTACTACAGGAGATGTGTGTACTCAGAGTTTCAGCCATAAGTGACTCCAGTCTTCTCCAAACAGGTACTGATCTGCAGGGCGCAGAGGCAATGGCGCCCCCTGGAGGATAACAATCTCCAACGCGCTGAACACATTGATATTTATGAATGCTGAGGTCCTCCCAAATGACAGCATCAGTGTACAAACCCTGAAATAATCTATACTTTCATCCCAGAATCTGACTTCAAAACATGAGAATATGATGGTAGTTTAATTAATTAATGTATTTAGTATATCACAGAACCAGTCCAACATGTAGTATATGGTATAAACAAAATAGAGAATAATCTGATAGTACTTACAGCAGGGGTCTCCAACCTGTGAATTGGGAGCTATCAGTAGCTCGCCACCCCCTTTTAGGTAGCTCTCCAAAGAAATGTGTGTTCTCCATGACTAGCTTTAGTTATTATATAGACTACAATTGAATTACTACTGCTAAAAAGAAGTTGCTTTCTGCCATTTCTGTTTTATAAAAGGTTAGAGCCCTCGAACTTAGTTATTGCTGGACTATAAGCCGCTACTTTTTTGCAATTTCTTTTAAACCCTGCGGCCTATAAAACAGTGTGGCCAATGTATGTGTTTTTATTGTGGTGGATTAGGGCTATTTTGACTCAAGTTTAAGTAGCTGAATGACATAAGTAGTTTCAAAGTATATTGGTGAATAAGTCATGAAAGCGAACAGTCAAGGTAAGCATATACTAACCTGAGAGAATGTTTGCCTCCTCAGATTTTATTGTGGTATTGGCCTTTACCTTTGATCATCAACAATGCAGCTGAAAAACACCAAATCCTTTTGTAACACTTGTCTATTGGCTTTGTTTTGCTCCATCAACTGTTGGACAAGTGTTACATTACAACATGTGGGGCCAATGTGTGAACAAAATGCACTTTCTTTTCATGTTTATCTGATGTGGTGCAAGTACTATTATACTACTCTCCATCTTTCAAAAGGGAAGCCATTTTCTTGCATGTCATCAGCTCTAGGGTATGTAAACTTTCGAGCAGTGTCATTTGGGTAGTTTCTGTCGGTGTTATGATTAAGGCAGATGAAACTATAATATTGTTATGCCAGTGTGAATATTTGACAGTTTTTTGGACTTCTTATTTATTCACTTTACTGCTGCAATTGTAGTTGAAATAATAAACATTATCACAATTGATTCTTGAATCACGTCTATTTTTGATATTTTTTCTATGAAAGTGTATCATTAATATCCTTATTACTATTTGAATCAACACCTTCTAGGCAGGGTAGGGCCAGATTTGGACTACCCAGAGGTTTTTCACCTTGTTCTTTGTCTGGGTCTAACTAAATCCACTAGATCCAGGACACTCAACATTCAACAACATTTATGGACATTTATCAATATTTATGGACATTGGTCATCTGCCCCTTATGGACCAATGTGTTTTTAACATCGATTTTCTTGTGTCTGAACTGTTTGATTCAACGGTTTGGTTAAGTCCTTCGAGATACTGTTGTGATTTAGGGCTATACAAGAATAGATTGAATTGAGTTGAATTAATACTATGCCAGACTATCTCTCTGTCCCAAGACACTTCACCCACATTACCTGGTATGATCGCTGGTCCTGGCACACACTGGTTGCCTCACTTCTGGCAGCAGTAGCCACAGTAGCAGTTTATCATTGCAATGCATTTTTATTAGAATAAATAGTTATCATATTTCTTGCTTTGATAGGCACGTTGCGTTGCCTTGTGTATATGTGCTATACAAATAAATTGCCTTTCTATTTTTGCTTGTAACTTTATTTTGATTTGTTTTGTACTGATCTGACAAACTTGAGCTCAATGCACATTAGTAGATAGTATAGGTACCAGTATTGAGCAAGTGGTGAAAAGGTGGTACTGCACCCTAAAATCCCCAGAAAAGAGACGGCGCTCTTGAGCAAGTGGTGAAAGGTGTTACTGCACTTTGTTTTTTTCAATGAGTTAGCTTCTGTGTGTGTGTGATAATGCTTTCACAGTTGTCTAAAGTGTTTTTATGATCACGGTGTATTCTAAAACAAGCAGTTAGGTCAATAAACTAATTAAGCTGCAGGTCCTCCCTGTTAACGACACGTGTGTGTGTGTCTGATAGTGATGACAGTTGCGAGGTCGTACTAGCAAATCAGAATGGGTGGGAGGTCTGTTACAAGTTTTTCAATGGTTCAAACGCTTTGCGACTGTCTAAGAGAAGGTTATGCAATATGTCTAATACAGGTAAGTTATAACATTTTTCAGTATTCATATTAAATGTTTTAATTTAGTTTATCTCTAGGAAAGGGTCGTTTATTGACACATTATAACACCGATGAAGATTTAACTCCAACAGCAAAAGTTACGAGAGGTATACAGCCAACGGATGAAATAAGGTAAGATCTCATTTTCCTTAATGTCTTAATCAGATGTTTAATACTTTTATTTCATTTATACAGCACAGGTAAATTAAACACCAAGTCAATGCCCCTGATGCATAAATTAAATCAACATAAAGCTCCGTAAGTCGGTACATATACTAACTTTATATAACAAGTTTTATGAGAGGTATATATTTTTTTTTTTCTAGAGCAATTCTATCACGCCGCAACGGACACAAAATAACTAATCACGGGGATGATGATAAAAGGTGAGTTACATATTATAATTTTATAATGATAGTGGTTATAATTTTCTTCTCACTATTTTAGCTCATCAGAGGGTGACGAAGACACAGAGAATCAGCCCTCAGTAAACCAGGATTTCAACATAATCGATTTTATAGCGACACTCGACATTGATGCCATTATACGCGATGAAGCTATACCAAACAACGATCAAGATGTATTAAACGCAGGAACACCATTCCCGGACCGTGAGGAATACTATGAACCTGAACACGCACCAGCTCCTGATGCAGCAAAAGGGCCTGTAAAGAATGCTTTAACACCAAAGGTGAATACTCTACAAGAAAACACACATCTGTTAAACAGCACTAGTGAAAAAACTTTTGTGAAAACAGAGCTCTCCAACATACGTGAGGAATTGAAGTCAACCAAGGCACGTTGTGTTAGTGCAGAGCTACACACAGAGAGGTGTCTAGCAACTGTGAACCAACAAGTAAAATACACAGAGGCCCGTATACTTAACGAAATACATCAGTTAAAGAGACAAGTTCACCATCTTCAAACTGAGCACGTAAAAGTTACTAAACAAGTGTTGGTGTTGCAAAATCAGCGTACAAACGCTACTATACACAGAGCTAAACTACGCGCTAGAGGCCAACGAGCCCAACTACAGACACGCGCGCTTCAACGAGAGGTCCTACAATTGCAAACTCAATACACGAAAGCCTCTATACACAACAGGGAATTAGAAACAAAAACCTTACGCGGGGAAATACAAATTCAAAATTTGACTACTGAAATCAACCACCTTAAAAACACGGGAAACGTAATAGCTGATAGAATTGCACAAGTGGATAACCAAGCGAGCACGTCTATAGCGGCTGTTATAGAGCAAATCAATGAAAACACTTCTCATTTGAAAGCCATCGAAAATGCTTACGATTGTGAAGCACACTAAAAGACCTAACGCTACAACACCCTCTCAACTTCCTAAAAAAATAAGAATTAATTATGGTGAGCGCTCTTACACTTATGCATCAGTGGAACGTTTAATTCGTACTAATTATCAAACAACGCGTAACACTGATAGTTTAATTCGTACTAATTATCAAACAACGCGTAACACGTATCCGTGTATTGATCGACTAATTCGCACAAATCATCAAAGTACATCCCATGCTGCAGAACGGTTAATAGCACCGACCATAGCTGAAAGGCCTCCGCTAGCAGACATTACCTCAAATGCTGATAATGTTAACCAGTCAATAAGTAAAGATACTATCCAACCCACAATACAACAACCTACAAACAACTGTGTAGGTATTAATAGTCAAACTATAGAAATGGATACGCAAAATGACGAACCACCTACACGCAGCTCTGTTTTAAGTCGACACAACAATGTTTCAAGAAATTGTATAGTTCACACAGAGTCAGACCCCCTGGAGGGTAATGTTAATGAGGGTAACGAGACCATACAAGTGGGTGGTGTTGTACAGATTACTGAACAAAGTGATGTCCCCGCTAACGTACAAACAGGTGGTGAGGTCCATGTTAACGTAATATCAGAGTTTAACACCACGGTAATGTCTGAGCACATTGATTTTCGAGGTATAGACCCTACAGATACCGTAAAGGCTTGTGAAAGAGTAAATGAAAAATTAACAGGGTTAATAACACAGGCTGTAAACAATGCAGAACAAGGATGTGTGATGAATGTTGCATTACGAGGGCCCTCGCTTAGTGACGATATTCAAGTTATTTTGAACTCTGACAATAACTACAATATTGACCATTTTTTAGACGAAGTGGAAAAAGTGTTACAAAGTAACGACAAGTCCATTATAGAAGATGAAATGACATTAATAGTGAGTATAGCACATTCACAAAGTGGTGGTGGTCTGCGGCTCAAACTTGGTGCTGTAGCCTACGACACAATATTGTTAAAGAAAGGTAAATTTCTTTATAACCCTCACAATACCGAAAATGCATTGTGTTTTGCGATGTGTATAGCCCATGCATTTCATGCGAACTATACCCATAGTAAATTACTCGATAAAGCCAAAGAGTGGCAAGCCGCAGTTGGTCTGGATCAACAAACAAACGTGACACTGAATGATGTGTCAAAGTTTGAGAATCTGTTGAACATAAAAAATTGTTGTTTTTCATAACAATCCACCGACTAAACGTCTTCAATCATTTGAAACACAGGATAGAATGCACGAATGCACAATAGCCTTATACCTTTATGAGAATCACTACTATCATATCAAAAATAAAACGGGGTTCTTTGGGAGTGCATATGTGTGCAAATACTGTCTCAAGCCATACGGTGCTAGTTTGCACCATCTCTGTAAATACCTATGTAACATCTGTTACACACAGTGTGGGACATCAGGGGAAAACAAAACAATTAAATGTCCGCTGTGTAAACGCATCTGTAAATCTATCCACTGCTTTAATCA